ATCACTCACTAATAGCACAAGAAGAGGATTATAAACAAAGATCTCTCAAAGATCAAAATCTCAAGTCAAAGCTCATGTAGGTAGGTAAAGATATTCAATATAATACTCTCTAAACTTCTTTAGATCTGTTACCAATCATATTTATAGCCCCTTGCTAAAAAATAACCGTTTATAGCCGTTGGGGGTCATTAAATGCTCAACAGGACGCGAAGCTCGAGTTGCAGGATTGTCAGGAGAGCCGGCTTAACTTTCTAGAGCCGGCTCTACACTTCCAAAGCCGGCTATTCGAGTTTGCAGCACATTCTGTTTTCCTCGAGAGCCGGCTGCAAGACATTGAGCCGGCTTTGGAATTTCGACTTTAAATACATTAAATATTCTTCAAAAGAGTTGACCGTTGTGCATTAAACGCACCCTCACAGCCGGCTGCAAATCTAGAGCCAGCTTTGCGTCTTTTCGCCGCGCGCGCCAAACAACGACCTTCAAATTTTTGCCCGTAGAGTCGACTACAGCTTCCAGAGTCGGCTCTCTGCACTTCCATTTCACCAGAGCCGGCTACAGCTTTCAAGAGCCGGCTCCCTGCAATTTTGAATCCTCTTGCTCTATTTTTAGTGCAATCCAAGTTTACTTGCAATCTTTTTAGCAACTTAACTACACACTTAAATAAACCAATTAGTCACTCAAATGTGTTTTGTAATCATCAAAATCATAGGTACAACATATTGTGAGCCATTGAGGAGTAGAGATTGATCCAGCCAAAATAAAAGCCATTGATGAAATGCCACCACCAAAAACCTAAAAGGTAGTCCAGAGTTTCTTGGGAAGAATTAATTACATTGCTCATTTCATTGCCAACCTTACCACTATTTGTAAACCTATCTTTAAACTCCTTAGAAAAGACAACCTTGATACTTGGAACAACCAATGCCAACAAGCCTTTGACCAAATCAAAGAATACCTCAAAACCCACCAACCTTTGTACCACTAACTGACAAAAAACCTTTTATCCTATATATCACTGTCCTTGAGAGATCCATGGGAGTCGTCCTTGTACAACATGACAAATTAGGTAGGAAAGAGAAAGCCATCTATTTTGTGAGCAAGAAGTTCAATGATTGTGAAAGTAAAGACTTAAACTTAGAAAAAACCTGTTGTGCCTTAGCCTGGACATCTAAGAAACTTTGCCACTACATGTTAACCAACACCACTTACCTACTTTCAAGATTGGATACCATAAAATTCATTTTTGAAAAACCCTCCCTTTCTAGAAGAATCTCTTGGTGGCACATGTTGCTGTTCGAATTTGACATCGTTCACACAACAGGAAAGGCCATCAAAGGGCAAGCCATTGTAGATCATTTAGTCGAGCATGCGGTGTAGGATTATGAGCCTATTGATTGAGATTTTCCCAATGAAGACATTTTGGTAGTGGAGGTAAAGTCTGATTTGGATAATTGGAAGCTCTTCTTTGATGGAGTTGTTAATCAACTTGATTGTGGCCTTGGAGCTGTGTTGGTATCCCCAAAAGGTGATCATTTTGTAAAGCTTGATTTTGCTTGTACCAACAACATAGCTAAATATGAGGCTTGTATTGCAGAAATGCATGTTGCCTTGGACATGAATATCTGAGATTTGGAGATATATGGTGATTCAACATTAATCATCCGCCAAACAAATGGTGAGATTAGCAAACTAAAGATCCAAAACTTATTCCTTACCACAAGTACCTTGAAACTCTCATAAGAAAATTCAAATTCATCTCTTTAAATCACATGCCCTGTGCCAAGACCCAATTTGCGGATGCTTTGGCGACTTTAGCCTCAATGATCCAAATCTTTAGTGATGACACAATTAAGCCTTTGATGATTGAGATCAGTAAGGAACCAGCACATTGCATAGAGATCAAGGTTGATGACAAACCATGGTTTCATGATATTAAGCAATTCTTGCAAAATGGGGGATATCCTCTTGATGCTTCTGAGGTGAACAAGAAGACAATCAGAAAATTGACAGCTTCATATTTCTTGAGCAGAAATACACTTTATAAATGTTCTACTAATATGACCTTGTTAAGATGTGTTGATGAAACTGAAGCAAAGCAAGTCATGGTAGAGGTTCATGAAGGGATATGTGGAACCGCAAATGGAAAAATGCTTGCTAGAAAGATTCTCTAAGTTGGGTATTATTGGTTGACTATGGAACATGACTAATCAAATATGCACGAGCTTGTCACAAATGTCAGATTTATACTGATCATATTAATGCTCTGCCTTCATTGCTACATAATATGTTTACTCCTTGGCCATTCTCCATGTGGGGCATTGATGTGATTGAGGCAATTAAGCCTAAAGCTTCCAATGGTCATCAATTTATCTTGGTTGATATTTACCACTTTACCAAATGGGTAGAAGTAACATTTTATGCTAGTGTCAAAAAGAAGGTGGTTACTCGCTTCATCCAAAAGGAGATCATTTGTAGAAATAGACGGCCAGAGGCCATCATGATTGATAATGCAAGCAATTTGAACAATGACATGATGACTACGCTATGCAAGCAATTCAAAATTAAACATATGAACTCTTCTCTTTATTGGCCAAAGATGAATGGTGCAGTGGAAGCTGCTAATAAGAATATTAAGAAGATTCTAGCCAAGATGATAGTCACTTACAAAGATTAGCATGAAATGTTGCCATATACTTTCCATGTTTATAGAACCTCAATTTGCACTTTAATTGGGGCAACCCCTTATTACTTGGTATACAGAATGGAGGTAGTACTACCAATTGAGCTAGAAATTCCTTCCATGAGGATCCTATTCGAGTCAGGGATTATTAAAGAAGACTTGACTCAAAAAAGGATAAACCATCTCATCTTGCTTGATGAGAAAAGATTGACAGTTCTTTGTCATGACCAATGTTATTAACGACAAATGGCAATAGCTTATAATAAGAAAGTCAAACCTAGAGTGTTTCATTAAGGAGATCTCATCTTAAGGAAGATCAAGCCAAATGAAAGGGACCCTTAGGGCAAATTTGCACCAAACTATGGAAGGCCCTATGTTGTTAAAGAAGCTTTCTCTAGATGACCACTCTTGTTGAGATATCCGGATGGAACTTATTGTCATCATCCAGTGAATGTTGATGCTATCAAAAACTATTATTGTTAAAAAAAAAAGAAGAAGTTATGTTTAAAACTCAAAAAGGCGGCCTAACAAATTAAATGTTTCCTTAACTTGGAAAGTCGAAAATCCAGTGATGAAAGGCCTTGTTTCTCTATCCCAAACAGTTAAACATTGCCCTTTTGGTTACCCCTTTTGAGTTAGAAAAAGGTAATCATTCAAATTCACAAAAAACCAGAATGATTTTCTTTCTATTAACCCACATCAATGATCGGGGAAGTGAAGAGAGAAATGTGAAAGGAGTATATGGATCTTGAGCCTTTATCCTTTCTTTCATAATAACCTAACCATAAGCCATGTTACAAGCCTATGTAAAGTCTTTATTTGAGGGTTTGAAGCTTTCTCTATCAAAGGACATAAAAAGAAGAAGAAGAAGAAGAAAAGAGGACAGAGAGGCTCCAAGTATTGGCAGTTGGGAATTTTCTCTTTCTGAGCATCAAAGTTAGTTCATGAAAGGGGAAAGATTTGAAGTGTCGACATTTAGAAAAGGAATGAAATTCTCTCTCGTAGACTAAAGGACTGATGAACAAAGTTGCAAAGAAAAAGATGATCTAAAGCAATGATTTATGGTTTGAATACCTTGTAACAAGTTGCATCAAGATCTTGTATTATTAGCTAGACTTCTTCTTGTCACTAAATGAAGTTGACCCTTTGATCATCTTAGCCTTGAATCTAATGAAATTGATCATTGCAATCATTTTGTTTGCATTTATTCCAACCTTGCCCTTTCGTTAAGTATTGGGAATACTAGTTGGATTGGATACTTTATTTTAGTCAATATAATTGTTTATCTAATCAAAACCTTTTGATGAATTTGAAAAGTTAGATAAGGATTATAGGGAAAAAGAAGTTGAATTCAATAGCTAAGCAGTTAGTTATCCAAGTTAGCTGAAACTCCAATAACGAATGGAAGTTCAACTTATTGGGGCAATATTTTCAAGAATCTCCTTAATGTGAATCTATTGAGCTGCTGCATAGAGATGATCATAGGTCGACAAATGCGCAACATAAAGGACACTTAACTCTTGCCAACTAAAGACATCCAATATGTTCAAAGAAGTTTCTTAACCTCTCTTCATGTTACCTTATCTTATATATGAAAGTTCTCTCACTTGCATCTGTTTTATTGTTATCAGATCTTTCAATCATTATTTTCATCTAGCATTTTGGCCGCATTTACTCTCATTTGGCCTTAGGCTATTCAACTTATTCGATCACTCGATCATTGCGGTTATATAACTGTTTCTACTCAACTTATTTGGTTACTCGACCATTGCGGTTATATAATTGTTTCTACTCAATTTGCTCAGTCATTTGACCTTTGCTACTCAACTTACTTGGTCATTCAACCGTTACTACTCAACTCATTTGGTCATTCGACTGTTGTAGTTATATAACCATTTCTACTCAACTTATTTGGTCATTTGACCAGTTTTTACTTTACCTATTTAGTTGCTCAACTATTAAAATTTTGAGTTATTCTTGTATTTTCTCTTCATTCTTAACATAAACAAAAGAAAAGAGGAGCAACTATCATAACTCAAAATTGTAATAAAATTTTATTTTTTTAGTTTTATCGTTATTTTAACTAAAATGTTTTATTTTTGCTTTTATTATTAGGTTTGTGAGTAAAAAAAAAGGGGGGGGGGATTTTGTGAAGAGGTTTGAAAAGAACTTGAAACAAAGGGCTCAATTGAAGAAATCAAAAGTTGGAAGGGTGAAATTCATTAAGGTTAAGACCTCAAATCCAGCCCAAATTGAACCCACTAATTATTCAAACCCAACCCAACCCAGCCAAAAAAAAACAAAAAAAGTGAAATAATGACAACCACTTAAGATTTCAAAATTTTAAAAAGAAAAATAAAAATAATGAAAAATTAAGTGTGAAAATATAAAAAGAGTCGCCACTCATCCAAATTATAAGGTGAGACAAGTCACCTAAAAATGGGTTTGTGCATAGATCAGGGTTTGGGGATTTTGTCAGGAGTGAGGAAGGCATACGCTCTTCTCATAATTCTCTGTTTAAACACGGTTGCATACTTTAACATGAGGGAGTTAATTCAACTCATTTATTATTTCTTTATTTAAGTCTTAATAAGCAAGCTTGAAAAAGGGATAAACCACATTGCAACATATTTAAACTTTGGTTAAACCCTTATTTTGGTCCTTGAACTATTGTACGGACCCTTGATTTGGTCCCTGAACTAAAGAAATCCCTAATTTGGTCCTTGAACTATGGTATGGATCCCCGAGTTAGTCCCTAAACTATTATATGGATCCCTAATTTGGTCCATACTGTTTACCAATTTAGCCCCAACTTGGTCCTTCCGTTAAATAAATAGCTTAGGGACCAAATTGGGGCGAAATTGTGAACAGTAAGGACCAAATTGGGGGTCTATACAATAGTTTAGGGACCAAATCAGGGATTTCTTTAGTTCAAGGACCAAATCAGGGGTCCGTACAATAGTTCAGGGACCAAAATGGGGATTTAACCTTAAACTTTTGGATTAAAATGGACAAAATCAAGAACATGCATGCAAAATAACCATAAATAAAAAGTTAAATGGATTGATCTAATTAAACTCAAAACATGAAGGATTGATTTGATTAAACTCTAAGTATAGAGGATTAATTTGAAAAGATTTAAAACTTTTGGACTAAAGTGCTTGATCATGAAAGTTTTGGATGAAACTAAAATAAAGGGAGATAATTTTTGACTTTTTGACAGAGATTAAAGAAAATTAAGGATTGAAATTAATTAATTATGATAATCAATTAATTTAAATGATTAATTCAACATTAATTAAAATTAATTAATCACATTTATTAGTCTCTAATCAAATAATTAAATAAATCTAATTATCTCAAATTAAGGCCAATAAAAATGATTAATTTATTTTAATTAAAATTAATTAATTTCCTTAATTATGGATTAAACTAATTATCCTAATCAATTTATCATTTTATTTATTTATTTGATTTTATTTATTCCTTTACTCTTTTTAGGTTTTTTTTTTTTACTGGATTGGACTAGATCTACTTGGTCCAAAAACACAAGCCATCTAGCAAAACATGCAAGCAACAAATCAAACATTGGAAAAAAAAAAAAAACATGAGATTTGAATTTAGGGTTCATTTTATTTCCAAGAAAAGGAACACATTAATCAAGTACATATATTGAACAATTCTTGATTTTTCATTCATTTCCAGCAAAACATATACAAGTTTAACATCAAATCCAAAAAAAAAAAAAAAAACAAAAGTGTTGTACCTATGATTTTGATGATTACAAAAAACA